TGACTTCTTTCTACTTTTTACCCCTCCAACTTGTTTTTGGAGATATTTATAGTCAGCGAGTTTCCCTGAAATATCCTTTTAATGACCGTCGGAGTGTCGGGTTTCTGCAATTTAGATTAGTCCTTTAATTAAATTAACATTATGATCCCTATCTCGGGAGCAGGTGGGCGACGTTATTGCCTTGTTAGAACTCTTTCCCCTCTGCGTTCAAGATTTTAAATGTATAGGACGCGTAGTCCCAAACGACATCCTTAAGAATTATGTCTGTAATTTACCAAGCTCTGATAATAAAATCTTTTAACGTATCAATTAAAGGCGTTTAACAGATTCAAATATTTGTAAAATAATAAGAGGTTTTAAAATAGTATTAAGTTTTGATAATGTAATAAATGATTACTGGGCAAGAACCTTGAGATGAATTTTTGAACGTTGATGTAAGTATAAAACACCAATTTTTAACGTTAGGTCAAAACAGTCGATTTTTCTGTTAAATAAACGCAATGAGTTTGCCTGTGTTCAAAGCACTTGCTATTGGCTCAAACCTTGTCTACAGTCTGAAGACTTAATTGAGCAGTTAAAAGTATGAATGCAAAGAAAAGTAGAGCAATCGACTTTGATTAATGATCAGCTACTTTCTATAAGCACCAGTGCTTTCAATTAGCACGAACGCTGCGGTAGCTCTTCGGACAAATTTAACCCTCGTTTCTTTTCCAATCTGTTTGCACTCGGCTTTGTCTATTTTTAGGAGCTACGAGTATTGGAGCGCAGGTCGAGCGAAAAATTAGAAATATCTCTATCGGAGCCGATCGCGATCGACAGCTCCCAATGATTGTTCTACGTTGCTACTTTCTTGTTGGAAATTCATGTCTTTATAGGGATTTATTCTTTATCGTTCTACGTCTTTTTCTATTGTATTTGAAACGTGTATACAGTTATTCTGTTAGTACAATCGTATAGATATATTTATTAACACTTGTTGCATTATTAACACTTGAACATTATTAAATGAAAAGGAGGGCAGGGCAACTGGGAACATTGCTTTCGAGCGATCACTTCCAGGCAACCACTGTTAGACAAAAATTGTATTAAATTAGATAAGGTAGGCATGAAGTGAAAAAATACATATTTAGACCAGTGCCGATAATTTTTGAAGACCTAAAAAACTAATAGTAGGATGAAACCTAAAAGAGAGAATATTAAAAAAATGCTAAAGGAAAAATAAATTGACGGGTGATCTGAGGTCGGGAAGGGGTAGGGGGCTAGTTTTAAGGGTAAAAAACGGTTTATCTCGATTTCCGGCAAAACTACAAGTCCTATCGAAGAAAGTTAAATGGCAAAGTTGGAGGTAATAAAAAGATCTAAAACTTTTGTATTCACACATTTTTTCACATAACCTCAAAATTTAGGTGAAAAATTCAAAACCACCAAGTTTTTGTTTTTATCTTTAACAAAAATATTTTTTTAACGAAATTTGGTGAAAACTTACCTTTCTATGTCCCAAATACACTGTAATTTATTTGATTAAAAATATTTATTTGTTCACCTTATTTTGAATTAATATCGAAAAGCACCCTAATTTTCAATCGAAAATTCTGACGTCAAAGTTTCAGCTTTTTCAAAAAGTTGGTGTGCTTTCAGTTCGTTGAAATCTCTACTTTCCTATGGTAAAAAAATATATATAAATATATATATATAAAATTTTCGTATATATGAAATACGAAAATTTTAGCCCATCTAAAGGCTAAATTTTTTTTTTAGGTCACTCAGGTATATATTAGTTATCTTAAAATAGTAATAAATAGGCATCTGATTATAATTTAAAGAAGATTCATAGAGAAGTAGGGAAGGGGATGACGGTCTGGTATGATACGATTTTTGTATTTTCTGAAAGATTTATATGGTAATATATATATATATTTTTATAAATAATTTAATATCATATATATATATATAGTTAAGTGATATGTAACATTATAATACATTATGCCTATTACTATACTTCGACAGCTAACATATGAAAGCTAATAATCTTATTCAATAATTAATAATAAATAAAAGTGCGAAATACAAAGAGATATCTCAGAGAGGGAAATATCTCTGTCGATGTTTTACCTATTTCTGATATTCGAATTGCTTTTGACGTTATTAAAGAATTGCCTTCCTCAAGTTACATCATCGTTATGATTAATTACGTCATAAAAATATTATTACACGTGCCTGATTTATTGCCTCAATTTTGATAATGAAATATGCGAAAATTTGTCGAAAAGTGAAAAAAAAATAGATTTTCCATTATTTCATAATTATTTGTTGTTAACATAAAATATTGTTATTAATATGGTAATGTTAACGCGCCATCAACTTCGTGGATTCGTAGTGTAAAGTCAAACCCGTATCTTAATTATTTCCTACTAGTCATAGTATTAATTCAAATTTAATAAAAAAAGTTATATATAATGTAATGACTTTTCTTCATTCATAAACATAAGGGATTTTAAGTATGTTTTACAGGAATATTTATTCGTTTCATTTAAATACATTATATAATCAATTAGGTGTGCAATTAATCATCCGTTAAGCACAACATTTGCACTTAAAAAGGACTGTATACACGTATGAAAAATTCGATGTGCACTGCCCCAAGCCTTTCCGCTCCACTCGCTGCACGTCGATCGATCGTGTGCATACACCTTTATTCCTTTTTTATTTATTCACATTTATTTTGAACGCGTTATTGAATGTCGTCAGATAGTAAAAATAGAAAATGTTTACCTTTCAAAAAATCCAAACTATCCAATGTAAAATTTCAAATTTTGGTAACATTTTGATTGGATTTTCAGGTATTCACATTTTTTTTGTAATGTATGGTATTTTTATTGGGCACATTTCATAATGTTTGTACAGTTTAGCGTATAGAAACGAAAACGTCTTTTTCGTATTATGACTTCAACTTAAGATGTTATCAATTCTCCAGGCGGATCAAATAAAGAGTTCTTTCATTCGAACTAAGTTAACCGTGAAATTGAGATAAGCACGAAGTAAAATCAAGTAAATATAATTTAATACTCTACTTTCTAGCTGTAGTAGTAGTTTAAGTTATAGCGTTATATATTCTATACACGGTAATACTTAATAAATATAAGTTTTAGTTTCTATCTTACAATAGACTAGTACTATATAGTGCGCTGGTGAACGTTGTTCTTGAATAATACTAATAATAATAATTTGAAACTGAAATTGAAATTCACGTATAGTTTATAATGAGGTAAAGAACATGTAGTCAATGTGTCGTAAAATATCATTTAAACAACATAATAAATGTTTTACCGACCGACGAAGTTAGACGTACGTACATTATTCAGTTAAATTGTTAAATTTCATGAGCTTGAAACATGGTGCAACATGATAATAAGTTCTCACAGAGAAAGCTCCAGTGTTGGTTCTGCGAATTTTCCTCTTTTCTCTGAACGAGTATGAAACATAACTCAATAGTGAGGGGATTCGAGCGCAACCGAGTGTAAAACGGTCGACGTGGAGGGCGCATTTTCAAACTGACCGGCCACCGGTGCATTCTCCGTGATTTATACATAACATTGTTTGACGTAGATGTGTTTTACGTAGCACTTCGCGTATGCGCGTAGCAAACCCTACGAAACCTTACGGTGTAGAGAGAGGTGTTATTGATATTGTAACTTTAAATTTATATTTACTAATAACACTCCTTTTTTGTTACATACATTTTATAGTTAGTTAACTTGTACACCAAATAATTAAGGAATGTTTTACATACATACAATTGCTACGTACAGCTTCTAGTATATTTATGACTAAGGAGGAGTAAGGGGCTTATTTTTACATAGTTTTGTATTTTTATATAAATTTAATAATATAAATAATACATATAGATACTGAGATTAATAATATGTGTTCCAGCCATTTATATTTTAATAACAGTATAAAATTTATTAAATATCACAATATCGGAAAGAAAATAAGCATCTATATTTAAAATTGGCGAAGCAAAAATAAAACGTATCCTTGATACGGGGATGCCCGTTCAGCGAAGTGGAAAATAGCCGACATAAAGGTCCCACATTCTGGTGCTGACCGGACACGGAAGCTATAAAATATATACGAGAGGTACCCTTCACATCGAGTGCCATAACCTCAACAAAATATGTTTAAAAGCCCCTTGAAATACATTTTTATAACGTAGTAGTAGTATTTTCTATTCGCTTCTGTGATAGATTAGAGAATAAATTTTATAAAAGCAATATTAAAATGGCCAAAATTCATTACATTCATAATATTTAAATTTAAATGTTATGGTTTTCATTATCAAACACCGTACTTTATAAAATTAAATTTTCCATAATATGCATTATTTAACAAAATTTGATGTTGAAAGAAAATCGAAAGGAATAAAATTGAAATTGAGGTACATAAATAAGGTGAACAACAAGATGGCGGCGAGCGGCGGCCGGTGTTACCAGCAATTAATCTCCATTTCCCGCACGCGCCAAATCGCGTCGCCATTACGAGCACTGTTTTATTTCATTAAATGGACCCGCCGAATTAATGCGTTGAAACGTTTACTAAGAGAAAGAATAGAAAATCTACTAAATGGGCCGCTCTTGCATTACGCTGCTTCTTTTGATATTAAAACAAAAGCTGGGCTTTGCCATTTTGAATACAGTTGTCGGAATTGGTTGGTGCCATTGATACTATAAACCATTTTTTTCTGCTTTGACTTTGGTTAGAATAAGTGAATTCTCTTGATCTACATGAGTCTGACATATTTTTGAGGCTGTGAAATAAAATAATTTGTTATTTGCTTTAGTGTCTTATTCCTTTTATAAGCATTATTTCACATAAGTACTAGATGTAAAGTATAAATGTCTTGACATATTTTGAACTAAAATATAAAATAATATGTATAAACACATTTAATACTGTTAATAAACTTAAGTAATCCACAAAGATAGTAAAAGACAAATGGTATGTTGCAGGTGCGGACTTTGTTCGTGAGCGGACTTCCCATGGACGCAAAGCCTCGGGAACTCTATCTACTATTTCGGGCATATGAAGTAAGTTTTGACGCCAACTTCACCTCAAAGGATGAAGTTAAATAAATCACTACCCATCTATAAGTTTCGCAGTTTAAGGATTAAGATAAATTATTATTAGTCTGCCTGCCAGTCAAACGTCGTTTCAAATCTAATCTAATCCTAGGATTTGGATAACTACTAGTAGTATTTAAAGTATTATTACGAAAAACAACACAAAGGTACCAATACAATGCGATCTGGTTTTACGTTATCATGCCTGTATTGGAAAATCGAATTCTGTTCATAAATCAAACATATTTCACGATTGAGAAAATATTATGAATCGCGTTGCGTCTCTCGTCACGCAAAGGGCTCGGTTGGGATTACGGCATCGTAAATATCATATGTCATGCCCCGATACGTAATATTTGGATTGAATCGATTCAGTTCGTCGATAAGGGGGATTAGACTCGGCTGGCACGGATAGCACCGTGGCCATTTCTTCCTAAAGTTAAACGAGGGTTCAAATATCGCGTGTATAAAGGTACACGGTACGGAGTGATACCATTTTTGATCGTTAAATGTATTTTGTATGAACAGAATTTCGATTAATATTCGAAATTGAAAATGATTAATGTTCCTTAATTATTGTAGGGTTACGAGGGTTCGCTGTTAAAAGTTACCAGCAAAAATGGAAAAACAGCATCGGTAAGTTAAATGATAATAATGTTTGTACTAATCATAGTGGACTTGATTTTTTTCATAACTTTCCATATTTTTTCAGCCTGTTGGATTCGTCACGTTCCACACTCGAGCTGGGGCGGAAGCTGCTAAACAAGATCTTCAGGTTGGTTCAAAATATATTTAAATGCAATATATCTTAAAATAAAACTATAAATTACTTTCAAAATTTATTCAAAATTATTTAATTAATCTTAACTGATTTGATAAAAATGATCATTATAAAATGACAGTATAAAATTGCCTAAAAGCAATTCGCTTAAGACACATAAAAATTCACGTCAAAATCTCTGTATACGTACGAGATACCACAAGGTGATATTTGTAAATACTAAGACGAGAGCACGGTGTTACTAAACCTCTTCTCATCACATGCCTCAACACAGCCAAAACGCACATAGTTAATATTGTCATTGTAGACTTGAAATAACATTTTCCCGTCTCCGAGTAACCGCATCGTTTATGCTAAGTCCATGCACATGTCGAATTGCCAACGTGAGCCCAACGTAAGCCACAAAGCCCGGTCCCAAGTGGTCTATTAATTACGGTGTAAATACGTACTGCATGTCACTGTTTGACAAGTTTTGATGTCACATCCCGAGCACCGTGTGGCACAATTGCAGGCGCAGGCGTTATAATACCTTCCAAAAACCTATCAAGACAAAACGAGATCATTCCGGGTATTGAGAATAGACAATTGAGTACAGAAATGTTAAGTTCTATAACGCGATTATGTCCCCTTGTGGACGAGCGGCAATGACCATCGTCATTATATCGGAGCGCCGCACCGCTCGCGGCTGTTCACAGCAGGGTGTCCGGTTCGACCCCGACATGCCGCAAACGATTCGGCTGGAGTTCGCTAAAAGCAACACGAAGGTCAGCAAACCGAAGCCGGCCGTAGCCACAGCCGCGCCAGCAGCACACCCCGCATTGATGCACCCGCTCACTGGACGTAAGTACCGCCCTTTGCACACACAGCCCCGCGTTCGCTCGATTATACCGATTAGCCAACGCGGACGAAAATTCCGTAGTAATATAAACGATGGCCGTTGTAGTGTTTTTTATTGACGTTTAATAGTTGCTTACTGCTGTTTCTGAGGAGTCAGAGAAGTTACCATTACTACTATAATTTATACAACATTGCTTTATATAATGTGTATGTAACATTCACTATTTCTACAAATACACAAACAAATAAATCAACTACATAAGACCATTTCGCTAGTTGTGGTCAAATTACAGGCCAAAGCAAATTATTAATAATAACCCTATTATTAGCTAATATTACAGAAAAATAATGAAACTGAAGTTACGAAGTTACCTTGAAAGCTTATACGCCGAATTCTAACGCAGCTTTTTTATTACGGAACAATTAGTTACGAAATAAGTTTAGTTGGCGCTACTTTACTGAACCTAGAAAATGGATTAACGGAAACTTTCTCCTTCACTACCACATGTTCCTAACATTTACGCACAAACATACTGATTTAAACACTTAAGTTTTTCCAACACAACCGTGTATGATGGCGTGTCGAGCGAACGCAAATTTTGGGCAAGTATATGTAATCGCTTACACGTACCACGCAAAGCCTGACTCCGCGAAGCTATTACCTATCAGTCGATCTGTCGGGTTCTTTACTGCTATTCTGTTCAAACACATAACGTTTTTTGATAAGTCACGTTCAACTAGCTTTCTTTTTGATTAGCAAGGCACGTTATTGAAATATTCTATTATACTTTTTAGTCATATACCGATAGACTAACGTTTTCCAATTCAATGATGCTTAACTTTCCAAAGAAAGCCAGCTGATAAATAAAAGTAACCAATGAGAGCAAATGTATATGAAGTTGTAAATAGCCTTTGCCGTTGTATATCGTTGTATGCTTAATTGTAACTCTGTGTACAGACTTAGCCAGTCCGTTCTTCCCCGGAGGGGGCGCTGAGCTATGGCATCACCCGTTAGCCTACGGGGGGGAGTTGCAGACTTTGTCCCATGGACTGGTGCATCCAGCCATCCACCCGCAGATGGCACCCGTCCGTTCTTATCTCTGACTAGCTGCCGCCGATAGGCCACACCACGTAAGTACAAAACTAATATAATATATAATAATAATATAAAAAACAAATAGTAGCATTTCATCAAAGAAAAAACTATGATCTGTTTCCCAAATTCTTAGGTAATTCCCGAATCTTAGTATTTAATGAGGATATAGTTCAATCGTTCAATCTTCTATTTTCGATCTTATTATATAAGTTTCCAGCGCAAGGACAAAATTTTGGCTAAATAGTTGATAATGAGACCGCATTTAATATGAATTAGAGAAAGATATATTTTGTAAATATATTGGGGATATTTTTTTATTATAATGGACTCACACACAGGATTTTACTTTTTTACGTCGTACTCTTAAATCAATAACAAAAAAAAAATTTAGAAAGATACAAAAAAAAAAAAAAAAAAAAAAAAAAAAAAAAAAAAAAAAAAAAAAAAAAATTGGGGGGGGTTAAAAAAAAAAAAAAAAAAAAAAAAAAAAAAAAAAAAAAAAAATGGGGGGGGGAAAGGGCCCCCCAAGATTTTTTTTAAAAACCATTGAAATTTTTTTTAAAGGGAGGTTTTTCCCTTACGCGTACTCTTAATAGAAAGATACATTGGTGTATAGTTGCTGTTCGAACGCTCAGCTTGTTTTCTAATAAGACGCTATAGTAGCCTATATAATTTTTATGATCGCTGGCAGACCCCGCTGACGTTAGGCGCCTGCGTGTTACCGGCGCCCGCGCTGGGTTCGCCAGGGGCCGCCCACGCTCCGCCTGCGCACCCCGGGCACACACCGCACCCAGCGCATCCCGCGCCCTGCTCTACTCTTTTCGTCGCCAATCTTGGCCAGTTCGTATCAGAACACGAACTCAAAGAAATTTTCAGCAGGTACGTCTGTTTCGATGGTCTTCTGTTTTCAAAAGGAATCAACTGGGTGTAAACTGCCTTGAACATGACGAATTCATTTAAATATGCATCTTTATGTTAAACAAATTTTTGATATAGGCACATTTTTATACCTTTCTTTTGTATACAAATTAAACCTAATCCAGTTGGTTACCTTACACAATCTGCATGGATACATAAATGGATTGTAAGAAAATATATAAGATATTGAATGAAAGATAAATGTTTCACAGTGCATGTTGCACCATGTGTCCAATATGGATTTAATAATAAACAATTTATCTGACTCAAACTATAAAACATTTTAGTTTGCGTAAGGTAAGGCCTGCACCCGTATCACCTCAAGCATGACATCGACATTATGTACACAATATCACATAGCGAATGACAGCACCAATTAAATCACTATACTGACCGCAATGCACCTTTTAAAAAAAAAACTATTCAAAATTAAAAACAACATTGCAACGTGCGTTTACTTTTATTTTGCCTCGGGTAGTACAAGTTATTTTGCAATTTCAACAATAAACACAGTATTTGTTAAAGGCTTCAAAAATCGCGCTTTCCACGTCAGAACGCTGACCTGAACTAAATATTATATTTAAAAAACATTATAATTGTACAACATACACGTGAGGCTAGAGGGGATACGAGTGTGGGCATATGTAATCATGACAGTTGTGCGGGCTTCTCGCGATTGCGGCTCTTGACCGGAGGAGGTGGTTCTGGCCCCGTAGCCTTCGTCGACTTCGTAACCCCAAGCGAAGCGGCCGCGGCTATGACTCGTCTGCAAGGCGCTCTGCTCCTCAGCTCTGAGGCGCCTATCCATCTCGAATACGCGAGGCATAAGTTGGCACACAACGGCTGGATACTCGCACATGAAGTATGCACGCGCACTGCTATTACAATACTACACCGTTTACTATCTATTAGAGAATATTTTAATAAATTACTGAAACTGTGTAGCATGATTTGATACTACGGATTCCATTTGTTTTAATACCTCTGTAAATTAATGTTGGGTCCAAAGTTTAATGAGTCTTGTTCTAAAATCACTTGCACCTTGCACATAGTTAACCACCCGCTTCGAGTAATGTGACTTGCGTTTAAATCTTTCGTTGACTAATGTTTCTTCCTATCAGCAGGGAGTCAAAGGGGGAGAAGAGAGCGAACAACATTAATTCGTTCGTGGCTCTCGGCACTTGACAACCAGCGCACTGAGGGACGCGCGATACTTTTCCTCCGAACCATATCCAAAATAGAATTTCAGCACTGGAAGATGGAGCTCGCACAACCCTATATCCAGTTTATTGCTTACCTGGCCAGACATATTAAAGTCAAAGTGTGACCGATACTTGGTTTTGATAATTTTCGTTATTATATTTGGCTTTAAAATGTTAGGTCACCATATTGTAAGAGCTCTCGTCTTATTTTATGTTATTCGTAGGAACAACGTCTAGAGGTGTGGTGTATTATGTTGATACCAAATTTAGCGTAAATTTATTATAAGTTTAACATTCCACTTTATTGTTTACCGTTTGCAATGAAATATTTTAATATATAATTTTTGGTAATATGTCAAATGTATCTTTTATGTAATATTTAGATTTATTTACAACTAACTTATTGTATATTAGTTTTTATATAAAGGCCGATTTATTCAACTGAGAACATTTATTACAATTATTGTAATACTCACTGGGTAAAGACTAGTATAGAACTGCTTATTGATTGTATTTCTTGCAATTTATAGGAACAATTCTATGCTAGTGTTAACCCAGTTAATATCAAAAATTTAATGCGTTAGAATATATCTCATTCGAATAAGCTAAAAACCAAAGGTGCCCTTCAAAGAAAGATTACGTTTTGTTAACTAAATATTTCAAGTTAAATGATTTTTTTTAAAGTTGTAATATAATACGATACTTTTGTTTAGTCTCTTTAATATTAGTATTTAAATGAATTTCACGAATATTTCAAATTATATTTACCAAATGCTTTCTTAGTAATTTTTATATTTGAACACTCGTTAAAACGCTGGCACTTTAGTGTTGGTCTTACGATCCTATCTATTAAAGGATAATGCAATAAAGGTAATATAGTGTCGCCCCCTGGTGTCGCTTACTGTAAAGTGCAATACATTACTGAACACTCGAGTCCCAACAACCGGCACCACCGCCGTATAACTTTCTACTCATAGTATTAGAACTAGTGAAAATAACACTTTAAAAGATAATTTTCTTATTCCCAATCTTATCGCAGCATAATTGATATTATGTTGGTCCTTTCTAATTTTCACTAGCTCTGAAACTACTTTTACGTACTTGTGCCTTGATCTATTCCAAAATTTGGTTAACAATCTTTCTATAGTTTGTTTATCTGTAATATACGACAGTGGTATCGAGATCAGTTCAGTGTTGCGAGAATTTAGCCTTGGCCTTATAAGATTAAATAAATGTAACCGTAATGTTAAAACTAGTTATAATTAACTGGCGACTCGCCGTGCTGAATAGTGAAATGATTGTTCTATTTGCATGCTTCGACGAGCTTCTTGGTTATAATCTTATAAAACAAATAGTAGATTTACTGTGTAACCTTTAGGTCAATACCATATAAATTAGGTAAGGGTATTTATTGTAGATCACCATAGTTACATTAATAATAAAAAAGTTATTCATACATAATTATTAAACAATGTATTGAAATAAAATTTTGAGTGTTAGATATAATTGAAATGGAAGATTAATATATTTTTATTTTTAGCTAGTTAACTATCGCAAGCAAAATGAACTTAGTTACCATGTGGTTACAAGAAAGTACATTGCGTTGCGATATAGCAATAAACCAAAAAATGTATAAATTATAATTGCCTAGAAACGTATTCTGCTGTAATATGTAAAAATTATATGAAAAAAGTAAAAAAAAAATATCCCTGCATAGGCTAATTATAAGGTTTCGAAAGTTTTGATATAATTGACGTGACACACCGATGCGTGCACGCAAGTGTACAATTCCGTAAGTTCTTATGAAAAATATCTTAGTCAATATTTAATAGAAATATCGTCAATTTTTAAACAAACTTAGCTAAATTTTATACGTTGTTTATAGTAATCGATAAATGTGAAACATACCGATCGTAGCGTATACACCAAAGATAAGCGATTTACATAATATAAATACTAACCTCTGACCGTACCAAACATTATTTGTAGGCGCGTACTGCGGGAATATCGAATATCTAATATTCCAATATCTACAGGAGACCAGGGCCTTCTATATTCTTAAAATCCTATCGAATTCCAATTTAACATCATATTTCTATTCAAAAATCGAATCTTTAATATTTAAAAGGCCCACGTCTTTCAAAAGATATAATCGTGTTACGCGAAAATCCCAAAATCGCTGTCATCTAACTACTAAGTCAATGTTTACTTATTTAATTCGATATATTATGCTAATTCGTATGTAAGTGATTGTGTTATAGTGTAGTAGAGATCTCCCATAACTCCGGCGCGCGGTGACCTCTATGCAAGTGAAATACAACGAAATTCCTGTTATTGAAGTTTGTGCATATAAATGTAGTTTCTGGACTTTGTTTAAGTGGGCAGCGCTCAGGCGTTGAGTGCCCTAGAACTATGAATCGATGTTCCTTGTACGTTTAATTGATTTCACCCTCTTAGTTTCGCGTGTCTTTTGACAAGTATTCCTGTGTTCAGAGGCTGCTAGGGGTCGCCAGTGCCGCCAAGATTCCGTCCAACACACTAGCTAGCGTAAGAGACGTCCAGTGGCTGCGGACACGTCTACGTCACCTATTGCGGGACTACTCGATACATATCATCGTGTAATATTAATGTAATTAGAGTTAAACAAAACTGTTTCATAGAGACGTTTATTCTGTATCCTTGTCTACTTCTCATTATGCAATCGGCTATATGTCACGCTAACAGTTTTACGTTATCGGAATTCTCGCTTGGCTAAATTTCACCTTGATATTTCAGCTTGTACGAAATAGAATTATTTAGCGAAGATCAAATTAGTTTGAGAACAAACGGGTGGATACGCGATAAATAATTGATGATTGTTTACGATACAGACTAGAGGCGAGCGTGACATTGCGCCGTGCGATAGGGTAGTTGGGGTGTAGCATCGCCTTGCAAGTTAGGTTAAGTGACGCGGTAACACACAAACGCCGTGCATCGGAAACATATCAATTCTGTGCCCCTTAATAAAAATAAAAGTTAGCTAATAACTAATATAAGAAATACATATGAATAGCATAAAGAAACAAAATAATCGTTCGAAGTATCAAATACATTCTAAGTGTTGTTTTCGCACGCCGAGACATATTGCGAATTAGATATTCTCGAAATGGTTGACGCATAGTACCCGAGTAGTGTCGCGCAATTTTTATTAATTTAACTTAATTATCGCAAGTAGTTTTAATTTTTCTTGTTATATGTAGGCTAAAGGCTTAATTACTAAAATAATTTTTAAACGCTTTCGTATTCAGTATTAATGAACTGGTTTTAGTTTATTGCGGTGACAAGAGTAAGCGTTGCTGAAAATTTATTTGTATATTCAGCAAATTATACCATACAAATATATAAATTAGTGGTTAATTGTTAGATTTGTGTGACTTGGATTATTTAAAGCTTATAGAGCAAAGGTAAAGTGTTATTGTGGTTTAAGAAAAAAAAAACATAATGACATTGTAAAAATAGTGATAAATTTAGCTTAATTGTATAATTATTATGACTTTTATAGATGTTCATTGATTTTCTTTTCTTACTTCATTGACTATTGTGGCATTGGAGACGTCATTGTTAATTCAAATAAATTTGAGCTCATCCTCAATCGAAGTTTTTATTCATACATCCCTTCGATATTAACGTAGATCAGTCTCCAAATTGAAATCAGTTCAGTAAATTTCTGTGACAAATTTTCATTTTCTTTTTTGAGTACAATCAAATTCTATATATAAACTGTATTAAAATCCTCTTCATTCTGTCATTTGTAATTGAAAATCTAGATATTAATATTATATGTCTATTTTAGGATACCAATATTAGGATAAATATTAAAAGTTGAGCTTTGAATTTGCTTTGTAGTTGCTTTAATACGTCTTCTTGTAAAACGAGTTACATTATTATATATTGTCTTTGTTTTACAGAGACGACGTAGATTGCAGGTTAAATCGCTAAATTCTTTCCGTGATTACAAGGCAATGTTGTATTAATGTTATAATTAGTTTTAAAGCATTATAGGGTCCAAAGATTGGGAATAAAGATTATGCGAGAAATCATTCTTGTTTATTTAGTTCAATTGGTCCTAGCAAAGTATCAGAAGTTTTAATGACAACATGAATATTTGAGTCCCCTTCGTATATGATACATAGAATAGAAGAAGAGGGGTGGATACAATAACTTGCCCCAAAGGCAACTCGTTAGAAGAATGGTTCAAGTATCTTGTTTAGGAACAAAAGATTAGAATCTGCCGACATACTAATGTTAAAACAGCTACCAATTTCTATTTAATGAAAGCATATATTAACTTTGGTTTATGTTGTTAGACATCATTTTAGTTACAGCAAGTGTAAATAAGGCACTAGACAAAGCAATGGTGCACACGGCTGTTCTAGACTAAAATACTATATAATAAATAAAATAATTTGTACAACCTTTTTTAGGTATAGGCCTCAGATTTCTGTATCTGTTTCATGATTATTTGTCAATCTAATAGGCAAGTAGGTGATCAGCCTCCTGTGCTTGACACACGCCGTCGACTTTTTGGATCTAAGGCAAGCCGGTTTCCTCACGATGTTTTCCTTTACCGTTCTAGCGATTGTTAAATGCGCACGAAGAAGATAGTCCATCGGTACACAGCCAGGGATTAAACCTACGACCTCAGGGATGAAAATCGCACGCTGAAGCCACTAGGCCAACACTGCTTGAATAGTTACGGGACTTACTTGGGCGAAATTTTTAGATTCAGATGTCAAACTTCAATATGTTTTTACATACGGGAGTCATACTTACCGCTAAGTGTCGACTCGCATCTTCTTTAAGTACGTTTTGATAAGTCTTCTGATCAGCCTTCTGTGCCTTTCATTAAAATAGTGTCACCTAAACATTAATTACAAGTGTCGGAACATTATCATTGCATGGGTTACTCAAGTGCAATA